TTAATTAATCTAATGACAGATGGTTTTTAAAATAAACTCAGAGTCGTTATGAAATTATTTGTTAAGTATATCATTAAAACACACCAAAGGCAGCATACTCTAGCAGAAAAGCACATTTGGGAATAGGACTATATTAGGTCTAATGTAAATTATACAAGGAAGAAACTGGTGTGCTCTTGGAGTTGATACCTACCATGTTAACTTTGCTTTATCTCTTGAGTAAGCTGAGACTACATTCTGACAACCCTGTAAACTAAACTTTAATGTACATTTCAAAGGACTGGATAAAAAGTAAGAAATGTTGAAAATAAGAAAATGATGGGAAAATAGAAATATTTCACTGTAGCATATTTAAAATGTGTATTTATGGCAAATTTTCAAAATAAAACACAATGTATTAATATCTATTTTAAGCAAATTTGGTCATTACATAAGAGAGCTTGGTAAAAGCATTTACATTGCATTATTTCATAGGATAATTGAAAGCCCTTGCACATTTTCAATTCTAGGGAATATCTTCATAAGAAAAATATAAAATGAAAAGACAAGAGGTGAAGGATTGAGTCCTGTCTTATTCCCCAGGGTCAAGCAAAGCACCAGGTGTGTGCTCATGTACTTGTCGGCAGAAGATCATTCTGACTTTGGCCCCCAGGAGAAAATAGCCCCCCACACCCCAGGTGAAGCATTCCACTGTGGGCCTGGCCAAGGACATTGCCCTAGGCCCCAGGAGACCATAACCCATTTTTCATTTTCTGCTTCCTTGTTAAGCCCTATATAAGTCCACCCCAAAATCCAGTCCCTGGCACAACCTCCAAACCCGCCGGAAAGTCTGTGCCCATCATGGTTCCTCAATAAACAGTGATCATCTGTTGACCATGGAAACCGGCCTATTCCTTTTCCATTCTCTTTCATTTTCCTACCATGAAGTAGATCAGACAGGAGGAAAATAATTGAAAGTGAAAGATATGACCCTGCTTGGAGACTACTGTAAATCTCAACTTGAAGATCACCAATTCAGCCAAGTTAGTGAGTAGAAAATCCCAGGGAATGAATAAGGAAAGATTTAGGATAGAAGTAGGAGGAGGATGACAATAGTATTTGAGCAAGAGAATGAGACATCTGGGAATAGAAAAGGCTCCCTCATAGATATACATACATATCTCAGTCTAGATTATCAACTTCAGGAAAGAATTTGGCCAGACTTCAATGCGCAATGGAAACCTTATCTATTACAACTCTATCTCTCCTAGGCTAACCTTCTGTTATATTTTTGACACCAACAGATTTTCTTGAGCAAATAATAACTTCTACAGATCTGTCAACTTGATGCCCACATTCAGACAAAAATAGTCAATATAAAAATGAAGTGCTCTCTGGAAGAAATTTATCAGAAGAATAAATTTCAATTACCTGCTGTCAGTAGGGTCTGCCTACTTCAAAACACACTCTCATGTCTGTCAAGAATTCTAATACTTACCTGTACTTTTCCAAAGGAAAAAAGAATATCTGTGGCCTGCTACTACTAAAAGTTCTGTCTCAAGGACAAAAGCCCAAAGAAGAAATGTCATAGCAGACTGGAAATGTTGTTATTCAATAAGACCCCAAAGAAAGGAAATGATTAACACAAAAGCCATTCCTTTATAGTAGGTGGAGAGCAAGTATAGAATTTCTGGTGGATAGAATTGGCTAATTTTGTCCTATCCCATAAATCTGCCAAATTCTTAGGATATGAGAGATGCCATGACATCCAACACTATGATACACTATGTATGTAGGAATTATTTGCAGGTGAGCTAGCACAACAACTTAGAGGAAACATAAATATATATTATTTCTGTACCACAAAGTAAAAACTTGCTACTAATCTAGAACTTCTCAATCATGTTAGAAAACCAATTGTTTTTCCTCTACATGGTCAAGTACATAAAGTTAATTTTGATTGCAGGATGATGCCAGAAATACTGTGTATGTGTGTGTGTGTGGGGTGGGGGTGAGCATAGAGAGAACCGTTTTGGAAGGGGAAATTTGAAACATATAGTCAACCTAAGAAAGGGAAGATGCATTTAATTAGGATGAAAACTTAAAAAAATAGTTCAAAAGCCCAAGAGAAGAATACTTCCTTAGACTCAGAGCAGACAAGCATTCCAGATAACATTCTTATTTTTAAAAATATATATTAAATTATAGCTATGTCATTATTTCAATAAATATGTTTATTCATTTTATCTGGGCATTGAGCTGGTTGGAAAATATAGTAAATATCTGTTTATGACTACCTCCCCCCCAAAATCATATTTCTCTCTTTAAAGGAGAGTTCAGAGATGACACATGGGTTGTTGCTATAGATCTTCTTGGAGAAAGAGAAAACTTTAGAATATACTCAATATAAACTAAATACCATAAATTTAGATTATACTCAATATAAACCTAAATAGCACAAATTGACTAATCTCTCAGACAGGCCAGCATTGTTCTCCTTCTATACCATCTCTCTCAAAATTCTAATATTTTTTGGCTATGTTGGACTAACTTCCACACTGGTTTCTTAATATTCTCAATCTCCAATAGATTTAATTATGCAGAAGAAATTGGCTTGATTTCAGTGAAGTCAAACAGACATCCAAGGGCATGTAGTCAACAAAAGATCTTCCAGGTTTGGAGGTACACTGTCTTTAAAGGGTAACATAATGGTAAGTGCCATGCATTCCTTATCCTTATTTTATGGTTCAATTGAAAGACTTTCTTTTCATGTACCCTGTGTATTTGGACAATTTACTTTCTCTCATTATATCTTTATTTCTCCACCTTTCAAACAGACATTGAAATGATGGACATAAACTTGGAAGTGTCATGAAATATATTTAGGTTACTATGTATACAATATATGGCTTGACCCCTGGCATATACTAATTTGATGAATATAAAAGTCATATCTATCACTTTTTTTGATTTTCACTGTTTTTTTTATTTTTTTTATTGTGAAAATACTGTACAGAGGGGTTACAATTACATGGGCAAGATAATGAGTACATTTCTTATCAAGCATTGTAGCCTCCTCCTTTGTTTCCCCTTCCCATCCCTTCCCATCCTCCCCCTGCCCCCCCCCACCCAATCCTCCCCGCTCCCCCTGTAAAGTTTATTTTTCGACATAACGACTTGTACATCTCATTGTTGCAATGGGTCCACCTGTATCCCTAGTTAAACGATTTGCTTTTCCCCTTCCCCTCCACAAATTATGTATCTGTCACTTTTTAAAGCTAATTTTAGTTTCTTCAAAATTGAGTAATTTTTATATGTATAAAACTTAAAGGAAGAGCAGGAAGATGGCTGAGGAGAAGCTGGGGGCTAAGCAAGTTCTTGAGTAATCAGTTTTAGTGTTCCAGGGGAAAATCTAAGCCTAAAGAGTCACACCAAGTGTATCATCATACTACAGAGAGGTTGGCCAGAGAGGAAAAACTCAGGCAGCTTAGTTAAGGACACAAATTCGAGCAACCCCGTTTGTGGCAAAGGCAGCAGCAGCTGCCATGTCAACAGAGAGTGCCTGGGACAAAGGTGCCACAGGCAGTGCTCAAGTGGATTCTACTCACCACCAGCAAGAACTGACAAGGAGCGGAAATCTTCATCCTGCTGGCCATAGACAGTTGCAAACCATAGGCATGGACAGCCCAGAAACCAAAGGAAAGGCATGAGTACACCCAAGACATCTTTCTTTTCACAGAGCAGCATCAGGAAGGTAGGCCCTCCCCCCACCACCATAGAAGAACTCCATCTTTGACATAGACACAAACCTGGCTAGAGCAGCTAGAAGACAATAGGAGCCATTCAACAGGTCAAAGGGATCTGACCTGCAGCAGGGTTCATCTTCACCCCTGGGGAAAGTTTCCCCTCCCAATCAGAGGCAGCTAGGAGTGGGTAGGGCAGACTCTCATAAGTGGGTAAACAGAGCCAGAGACTACCCTACCCTGCTGTTGCACAGAAGCAAGTCCACCCTACTGAAAGATTAAAATTGGGGCTATGTCTATTTTACAATATGCTAACTGCTAATTCTGCTTCTGTAAACCTGCTTACTGTAAACCTGCTTACTCTAACACTGACCCTTCCCCTCCCAGAAATAAGTAAAAAGTTACAAAGTCCAGATGCAGGCCCAGGGACAAGGTCTGCAAACATAGATAAAGAACAAAAGGGTATGTTCTTCTAAATTCCTGTTTAGAAGCTCTCAGCAAGGGGCTCAAAATAAAGACCATCTGGCGAGCCCAGCAAACTAGGGAGCCTGTAACTATGTGGACACTTGTTACAAAACTTCCCGCGCAGAGCTGAGCCAATCCTGGGGAGCCTGGGGTCTTATGCTAATCCTGTGGTTTTTATCTTTAAAAGTGCCTGTAACCACTGCTCCGGGCTTCCAGTCTGCCTTGGACAGGGAGCCCGTTTGCTGCAAACGCCTAATAAAATCCTCTTGCTTGTTGCATCTGCTGGTTTGGAGTCTTGGTTCTTGGGGTGCCCTCCCGTTGAAGAAAGCATCCCAGTGGGACTGGGGTCTTTCAGTTGGGGGCTCGTCCGGGATCCAGGCGCCCCCAGACCCCAAATTCCAGGACCGGTAGGAGGTGAGATAGAGCTCTTGTCTTGTGTGTTTGTCACTTTCATTTTATGTTCTGGGATCCAAATCTGTATTTGGACTAGTGGAAAAAGCAGACATGCCCAGTACCCTAGTCCCGCCCTGGAGCCCTGCTCCAGGGTTGTCTGAATCTGTATTTGGGCCAGAGGGAAAAGCAGACGTGCCCAGTACCCTGGTCCCGCCCTGGAGTCCTGCTCCAGGGTTGTCTGGAGGAAGGAGGAGATCCGAGTGTCTCTCTGTTCTGGGGAGGTTAGGCGCGGCCGGCCACTCCCATCTGTAATTCCTTCCTCATCTGTACTCACTGGGGAACCGCGCGGCGTTTGTCTATCTCGTCTGTTTCTGTTTAGCGTTGATCGTCTTTGTTGTCTGTCTTGTAACTTTTAAAGAAATGGGGCAAAAGCTAACAACCCCCTTAAGCCTTACTCTAGATCACTGGACAGAAGTCACCACCCGGGCCCACAACCTGTCGTTGGAGGTCTGGAAGAAAAAGTGGATCAGCTTCTGTTCCTCCGAATGGCCCGCCTTCAATGTAGGGTGGCCTAAGGAGGGCTCCTTTAATCTTGGTGTTATTTTACAGGTGAAGGCTCGAGTTTTCCAGCCCGGCCCTCACGGACACGCTGACCAAGTCCCCTACATAATTACTTGGGAAAATCTTGCTCAGGATCCCCCGAAGTGGGTTAAGCCTTTTCTCTCCCCTTCCATCCCCCTCTCGGCCCCTCCACCCTCTCCCACTCCCCTAGTCCCTCTTCCTCCTGCCCCCATCCAGCCTACCTTTCCTCCCCTGCCTGTCCCTCAGCCACCTACTCCCCTCACCCCTCCTCCACCACCCTTATCCCAATCTTTCCTCTACCCCCTAAGGGAGTTGTCAAAACTTAAAACAAAGGACCCCTCCCCCTCCTCTTCAAGACCCCCCGTTCTGCCTGATAATCAGACAGAGACAGACTTGTTATTGTTAGAGCCTCCCCAAATGCCAGACCCTCCGCCGCCTTATGCCCAACCTGCTCCTGCTCCTATGGAAGAGCAAAGGGGCCCGATAGGGGTCTCCCATTCCCCATCTGCTCCTTCTCCGGACTCCACTGAGCTGGAGGTGGAGCCCCGGATGCCTTCGTCACCTCCCAGCAGTCGTCTGTGCCTCCGCCGTGATCGAGGCGGAGAGACGGGGGGAGGCTGGACGGCCCATGCTTTTCCCCTCCGGACAGTGGCCGGCCAATATCAATATTGGCCCTTTTCTGCTTCGGACTTATATAACTGGAAAACCCATAACCCGTCCTTTTCACAGGACCCTCAGGCCCTTACGGGCCTGATTGAATCCATTCTGCTAACCCACCAGCCCACTTGGGATGATTGTCAGCAACTCTTGCAGACTCTCCTCACCACGGAGGAACGGCAGCGAGTGTTCCTAGAGGCTCGCAAGAATGTTCCAGGAGAAGATGGCAGGCCAACGCAGTTGCCCAATGAGATCAATGAAGTGTTCCCGTTAACCCGCCCAAATTGGGACTTCAACATCGCAGCTGGTAGGGAGCGACTCCGTCTTTATCGCCAGGTTCTGTTGGCAGGTCTCAAAGGGGCCGGGAGGCGCCCCACCAATTTGGCTAAGGTACGTGCAATAGTGCAGGGTTCTGAGGAAACGCCTGCGGGATTTTTAGAGAGACTAATGGAAGGATACCGTATGTATACGCCCTTTGACCCCTCTGCTGCAGACAGACAATCCGATGTCATTATGTCATTTATCGGGCAGTCGGCCCCGGACATTCGGAGTAAGCTACAACGGTTGGAGGGGCTTCAGGGGTATACTTTACAGGATTTGGTTAAGGAAGCAGAGAAAATTTTTAATAAGAGAGAGAGGCTAGGTCAGATAGGAACCTGGGGGAGGAAAAGAAACCTCTAGTGAGCCGTGACCAGTGTGCATACTGCAAGGAAATAGGACACTGGGTCAGGAACTGCCCGAAAAAAAGGGGGCAGATAAGAGGATCCCGAAGACCAGCACAAGTATTGTCCCTACAGGATGAAGATTAGGACAGTCAGGGCCAGGAGCCCCCCCCTGAGCCCCGGGTAACCCTTCAAGTGGGGGGCCAGCCAGTAACCTTCCTGGTTGACACTGGCGCCCAACATTCGGTCCTAACCCGAGCAGGAGGTCCCCTGAGTTCTAAGACATCCTTGGTGCAGGGGGCCACAGGGGGAAAATTGTACCGATGGACAACTGAGCGAAAAGTACACCTCGGAACAGGGCTAGTCACCCACTCATTCCTCCTAATTCCAGACTGCCCCTATCCATTGTTAGGGAGGGACCTCCTCTCAAAGGTAGGGGCCCAGATTTATTTCCAAGGAAAAGGGGCCTCCGTTAGAGGACCCCAAGGACAGCCCCTCCAAGTCCTAACCTTACGCCTGGAGGATGAACACCGGTTACATGAAAGCCCTCAGTCAGCTCAGATCGACCCCCAATGGTTATCAGATTATCCCCAGGCTTGGGCGGAGACTGCAGGAATGGGACTGGCTACGAACCAGCCTCCCGTGGTTATTGGACTTAAAGCTTCAGCTACCCCGGTAATGATACGCCAGTATCCATTAAGCAGGGAAGCCAAAAATGGAATTAGGCCTCATATACAAAGACTGCTCCAATTGGGTATCCTAAAACCATGTCAATCTCCATGGAATACCCCCTTATTGCCCGTCAAAAAGCCTGGGATGGGAGACTACCGTCCAGTACAGGACTTGAGGGAAGTGAATCGGAGGACAGAGGACATACATCCCACGGTGCCTAATCCCTACAACTTACTAAGTACGCTGCCCCCGAACCACACATGGTATACAGTGCTCGATTTAAAGGATGCTTTCTTTTGCGTAAGGCTAAGTCCTCAGAGTCAATCGATCTTTGCTTTTGAATGGAGAGATCCAGAATCAGGTTTTTCAGGACAGCTCACATGGACGAGATTGCCACAAGGATTTAAAAACTCCCCGACCCTGTTTGACAAGGCTCAACATCAGGACCTGGCTGACTTCAGAGTCAATCATCCCCAATTCACTCTTCTACAGTATGTAGATGATCTACTCCTAGCAGCTGAGACTCGAGATGACTGTTTGAAAGGTACTGGGGCCCTTTTAAAGAGACTGGGGGAGTTGGGGTATAGAGCCTCAGCCAAAAAGGCCCAAATCTGTGTCCAACAAGTGACCTATCTAGGCTACAAGCTGGAAGGAGGGCAGAGGTGGCTAACAGAGAGCCGAAAACAAGCCATCACCCAGATCCCTCCGCCCACAAGTGCGCGAGCACTGAGGGAGTTCTTAGGGAGTGCTGGATTCTGTCGCTTGTGGATACCAGGGTTTGCTGAACTGGCAGCCCCTCTGTACCCCCTTACCAAGGCAAATACCCCATTCCGATGGGAAAGGGAACAACAACAGGCTTTCGATCAAATTAAGAAGGCCTTATTATCAGCTCCGGCCTTGGGCCTCCCAGATGTGACCAAGCCGTTCACTTTATATGTGGATGAGCGACAGGGAATTGCAAAAGGAGTTCTGACCCAAAAATTGGGACCTTGGAAAAGACCGGTGGCCTATTTTTCAAAAAAACTGGACAGTGTGGCGTCAGGATGGCCACCATGTCTCCGGATCATTGCAGCTGTGGCCGTGTTGGTAAAAGACTCTGATAAACTAACCTTGGGACAGCCCTTAACGGTGACGGCCCCCCATGCCATAGAGACAGTTATTCGCCAGCCCCCTGACTGTTGGCTTTCAAACGCCCGGATCACCCATTACCAGACAATGCTGTTAAACCCCGACCGAATCCGGTTCGGGGCCGCAGTCTCTCTCAACCCAGCAACTCTACTTCCGGACTCAGGCCCTCACCTCTCCATCGAACATGATTGTCATCAAATCCTGGCCGAGGTGCACGGGACCCGAGAGGACTTGACCGACCAGCCCCTACCAGATGCTGAACACACCTGGTATACGGATGGAAGCAGTTTTCTGCATAACGGTGAGCGGAAGGCGGGGGCAGCAGTAGTAGATGGGACCACAGTCATCTGGGCATCAGCCCTAGAGCCTGGGACATCAGCACAGAGGGCCGAACTCATTGCCCTGACACAGGCTTTGACAGAAGCCCGGGGGAAAAAAGTCAACATTTATACAGACAGTCGGTATGCTTTTGCTACCGCACATGTCCATGGAGAGATTTATAGGAGGCGAGGCTTATTAACCTCGGCAGGAAAAGACATTAAAAATAAAAAGGAAATCCTAGACCTCCTACAAGCCCTCTTCCTACCTAAAAAGGTGAGCATCATCCATTGCCCAGGTCACCAAGTGGGGAGGGACCCTGCAGCAGAAGGGAACAGGATGGCGGATGAAACTGCTAAGGCAGTGGCCTTACAAAACCAAACCCTTGCCTTAGCCACATCACGGGAAAGACAGCCAAATAAACAGCCTCTCTTCCAGTATTCAGACCAGGATGTGGAAACAGCCAAAAAGCTAAAGGCAACCTTTAATAACTCGACTGGGATGTGGGAATATGAAAACCGGACTATATTGCCCCGCAAGGATGCGAGAAGGCTGGTTACTTACTTACACAGGTGGACCCACTTGGGTTACAAAAAGTTGGAGACTCTTTTACAGAGGGAGGAGCAGTCTCATTACATTCCAGATCTGCCGGGCATAATTAAACAGGTCATAGACTCTTGTGTTCCCTGCGCCAAGGTCAATGCAGGCCGATTCCAAGCGCCCGCTGGAGTCAGAATGAGAGGAGAACGACCTGGCACCAACTGGGAGGTCGATTTCACTGAAATTAAGCCTGGCAAGTATGGAGCTAAGTATCTCCTAGTCTTTGTGGATACCTTCTCCGGCTGGACAGAAGCTTTCCCCACCAAACAAGAGACTGCACAAGTGGTAGTCAAAAAGATTTTGGAAGAAATTTTCCCTCGATTCGGGCTCCCTAAGGTAATAGGGTCAGATAATGGCCCTGCTTTCGTCTCCCAGGTAAGTCAGATGGTGGCCAAGCTGTTGGGGATAGATTGGAAATTACATTGTGCTTATCGCCCCCAGAGTTCAGGACAGGTAGAACGAATGAATAGGACAATTAAAGAGACCCTAACCAAATTAGCCCTAGAAACTGGCACTAAAGACTGGGTCCAACTCCTTCCCATGGCCCTGTTTAGAGCCCGGAATACTCCGGCAAGCCATGGATTAACCCCCTATGAAATCTTGTATGGAGGACCTCCTCCTATAGCAGATTTTCTTGACCCTGCCATTGATTCTTCTACAAATATCCAAAGCCTACAGGCACGGCTGCGAGCTCTACAACTCATCCAGAGACAAGTGTGGAAGCCGCTGGCCGCCGTCTACAGCGCGGGGAGCTCTGCAGTCCCGCATCCCTTCCAGGTTGGTGACGAGGTGTACGTGAGGAGGCACCAGTCCAAGACCCTCGAGCCGCGGTGGAAGGGCCCGTACATCGTGCTGCTGACCACACCCACTGCGCTAAAGGTAGACGGGATCGCTGCCTGGATCCACGCCTCCCACGTCAAGCGAGCGCCGCCTGGAGACAAGAAGGACACCTCGGAGCCAGCGAGATGGAAGGCGCAGCGCACTCAAAACCCCTTCAAGATAAGACTCTTAAAAACTGTTTAATATTCTTTGCTGTTGTAACCTTGACAGTAGCAGAGGGACAAAGAGTCCATCCCCTGGCAGGCATAAACCCACACCTTCCCCAAAACCAGACATGGCAAGTAGTAGATGAACGCGGGGGTGTGATGTGGTCTACCTTTAATGTAGCCCCCCTCTGGACATGGTGGCCTGACCTGAAACCAACCTTATGCATACCTCTTAGTAGAAGGGTCTCAAGGTCAGGCTTGTCTCCTCCCCACATCCCCCGGGGAGGTTTCCCGATCTATGTCTGTCCGGGCGGACATCAGAATCCTTCCCTCATAAGCAAATGCGGGAGGGAAGAAGATTATTTCTGCAAAACTTGGGGCTGCGAGACCACCGGTGACGGCTCCTGGAATCCCACCTCCTCCTGGGACTACGTAATAGTCAAGAGGGCCAGCGAGCAAGGGGAGGGAGGGAGCTGCAAAGACAAAAATTGCCACCGGTGGTGCGTAAGACTTATTGTAAAATTCACTGCTAAAGGAAAAATGCCTAACTTGGGCTGGGAGACTGGGCTCACCTGGGGGATTAGACTGTACAAGCAGGACTATGACGATGGCGGATTCATAATTGTCCGCCTTCGGGTGGAAGGCATAAACCCCCGCCCTATAGGGCCTAACCCCGCCCAGGAAAAAAAGCCCCTTTTCCAAAACCGACCACCTGACCCCACCCTCCCGCGGGCCACCCCCGACCCAGGGCTGCCCCAAATGCCTCCCTTATACAATTTAGTAGAAGGAGCTTATTTCGCCCTCAATTCCACCAAAAGCGACCTTACTCAGTCCTGTTGGCTCTGCCTTTCTGAGGCCCCTCCTTATTATGAAGGGACAGCTTATGATGGTACTTACAGCTATTCTGACTCATGCTCCTGGGGGCGCCAGGGCACCAGGTTAACTCTAGCCGAGGTGTCAGGCCAAGGACTATGTCTTGGTACACCACCCCCTGAAAAGAGCCAGCTCTGTGCCCGCATAGAAGAGGTTACAGCTATTCCAGGCAAATACCTAGCACCCACAGATGGGGGATGGTGGGCATGTGACACCGGATTAACCCCTTGTGTCTCACCAATGTTGATAAACCAGACTGGTTTCTGTGTCTTAGTACACCTCTACCCCCGAGTAACATACTATGACTCCCAATCCTTTGAAGAACTGGCGGAAGGCCTGGTCCCCCGCAGATTCAAAAGAGAACCCATCAGCATGACATTAGCTGTCCTCTTGGGATTTGGGACCGCCGCAGGTATTACGGGAGTAGGAGTAGGGGCGGCCGCATATGCGGAAGGCCAACAAGGCCTAAGACAACTAAAAGCTGCCATAAACCAGGACTTAAGAAATGTACAAAAATCAGTCACAGCATTAACAGACTCCCTCACCTCCTTATCAGAGGTAGTGCTTCAAAACCGTAGAGGTTTAGACTTAGTCTTTCTCAGGGATGGTGGGGTGTGTGCAGCCTTAAAAGAAAAATGCTGTTTTTATGCTGATCATACTGGAGTAGCGAGCGACTCCATGGCCGAACTCCAAAAGCGTTTAGACGCGCGAAATTGGGACAAGATCGAACAGAGCAGCTGGTTTGAGAGTTGGTGGTCTAAATCCCCCTGGCTCACCACGCTGCTGTCCGCAGTAGCAGGACCTGTCATTATTCTATTGTTGCTTCTCACCTTTGGTCCTTGCATAATTAGCAAGCTATTGCAGTTCATTCGTGAAAGGCTGTCTGTCATACAGGCCATGGTACTAACTCAACAATACCATGTATTACAGGCAAGTGACACACCTACAAATGAGATCAGAACCTCCTAGATTTTAAGATTAAAATCAGTCCAAAGAAAAGAGGAGGGAATGAAAGATTAAAATTGGGGCTATGTCTATTTTACAATATGCTAACTGCTAATTCTGCTTCTGTAAACCTGCTTACTGTAAACCTGCTTACTCTAACACTGACCCTTCCCCTCCCGGAAATAAGTAAAAAGTTACAAAGTCCAGATGCAGGCCCAGGGACAAGGTCTGCAAACATAGATAAAGAACAAAAGGGTATGTTCTTCTAAATTCCTGTTTAGAAGCTCTCAGCAAGGGGCTCAAAATAAAGACCATCTGGCGAGCCCAGCAAACTAGGGAGCCTGTAACTATGTGGACACTTGTTACAAAACTTCCCGCGCAGAGCTGAGCCAATCCTGGGGAGCCTGGGGTCTTATGCTAATCCTGTGGTTTTTATCTTTAAAAGTGCCTGTAACCACTGCTCGGGGCTTCCAGTCTGCCTTGGACAGGGAGCCCGTTTGCTGCAAACGCCTAATAAAATCCTCTTGCTTGTTGCATCTGCTGGTTTGGAGTCTTGGTTCTTGGGGTGCCCTCCCGTTGAAGAAAGCATCCCAGTGGGACTGGGGTCTTTCACCTACAGCAATTGGAAACTTGTTACACATAAATCCTGAGATTGGCTCAAGGCTAGGCTCATTGAGTCTCTCAGGAGCTAGCCCATCAAGGTAAAACTACTGATTGTTGACAGGCCACAGCCCTACCTACAACCTAGCACCACTCATCAACTGCAAGCTAGAGGAAACAGCTACCTCACTCATTTTTTGATACTCAAAGATTAATGGAGGCATTCATGGAATCCACAAACAGATAGCTGGAGGAATCCAGGGAGGTCACAATGGGAATGCTGAATGAAGGAAAGGGAATCCAATGGAACCATAAACAATCAACTAAGGGATTAGAGAAGAAACACTGAAAACCAAATTAAGGAAGTAAAGAAGTCCATACAAGATCTAAAACAAAGCTCCAACAAAGAACTTGAAGCCATCAAAGCTGACCAATTAGAAGAAAAGGAAATAAAAAAACAAAGTAGAAAATATTGCCAGTAGGTTAGACACAACCAAGATTCAGAACCTTACAAGGGAATACTTCTCAAACCATTATGCTAATAAGCTTGAGAATCTGGAAGATATGGACAAATTTCAAGCAAATATAAACATGCCCAAACTGAACCAAGATGAATTAAACCAACTTAACACACCCATACCAAGCATCAAAATAGAAACAGCAGTAAGAGACCTCCCACCCAAGAAAAGCCTAGGACCACATGGATTTACAGCTGAATTCTACAAGACTTTCAAAGCAACACTAACACCTATACTCCTCCAACTCTTCAATGAAATTGAAAGTTCACTACCAAACTCTTTCTATGAAGCTATCTAAACCCTCATCACAAAACCAGGCAGGGACTCATCAAAGAAAGAGAACTATAGACCTCTTTCATCAATGAACATTGATGCAAAACTCCTCAACAAAATTTTGGTCTATCGACTTCAACAACTCTTCAAAAAAAATCATACACCATGATCAAACAGGATTTATTTCAGGGATGCAAAGCTGGTTCAATATATATAAATCAATTAATATAATTCATCACATCAACAAGAGCAAAGATAAGAACCACAAGATTATCTCAATAGATGCAGAAAAAGCATTTGACAAGATCCAACACCCCTTTATGATGAAAGCTCTGGGAAAACTAGGAATTCATGGAACATCCCTCAATATAATTAAGGCTGTGTATGACAAACCTATGCCAGCATTATACTTAGTGACGAAAAGCTAAAGCCATTTCATCTAAATTCAGGGACAAGACAAGGATGCCCATTTTCTACCCTTCCTTCAATTTAGTATTAGAATGCCTACCTAGACCAATAAGACAAGATGCAAACATAAAGGGGATCCAAATAAGGAAAGATGAAGTAAAACTCTCCTCTTTGCAGATGACATGATCTTGTATTTAAAGAACCCCATGGACTCCATGCCCAAGTTACTTGAGCTGATTCAAAACTTTGGCAAAGTAGCAGGAAAATTAACCCTAAATTAACCCTAAAATTAACGCTAAAATTAACCCTAAAAAACCAGTGGCTTTTCTGTATGCCAACAATGAGAAGAACACAACTGAAATCAGGAAAGCAACTCCTTTTGTAATAGCCCCACAAAAAATAAAATACCTAGGAATTAACTTAAGAAGTGAAGGACATCTATAAAGAAAACTTTAAAAACCTGAAAAAGGAAATTAATACTGAACTAAGGGAATGGAAAAAACCTCCCATGCTCCTGGATCAGGAGGATTAACATCATGAAAATGGCAGTATTACCAAAGGCTATCTATGAATTCAATGCAATACCTATCAATATCCCAACCTCATTCTTCAAAGAAATAGAAGAAGCAATCCAAAAATCCATATGGAACAATAAAAGACCTCAAAAAGCAAAAATAATCCTTAGCAGAAAGAATAGTGCTGGAAGAATATCAATACCAAACCACAAAGTCTACTACAAAGCTATGGTAATCAAAACAGCTTGGTACTGGCACAAGAACCTCAGGACTATGGAATAGAACTGAAGAACCACAAATGAACCCAAAGACCTATAGTCACCTAATCTTCAATAAGGGAGCTAAAAAAATAGAATGAAAGAAAGCCTCTTCAGTAAGTGGTGCTGGCAAAATTGATTAAACACCTGTAGAAAACCAAAGCTAGATCCCCATACATCACCATGCACCAGAATCAATTCCAAATGGATCAAAGAACTCAAAGTCAAAGCAGACACCCTGAAAACATTACAGGGCTCCTTGACACAGGCCAAAATTTTCTTAATAAAGACCCAGATAAGCCAGGCCCAAAGAAACATAGGTCCCATGGTTTCCCTTCTTTGCAATAACTAGTATATGTCTGAGTCAAGCAGAAAAGGTCAGATAAGTTGATATTAGAGGAATGAACCCCAAGACTGTCCCGACCTGCAGGACGTCAACCAGGGCAGTGAACCTAAGAGAGAAGGAATGAAGGGACAAGAGACACGAAGAATGACAGCAAGACAGGGATTCTGATCAAGCTGCAAATTTTTATTTTTCACACAGGGGTATTTATATGCTTGGAATAAGGAAGCTTTTTCATTGGCTGTCAAGGAAGCTTCTTCATTGGCCGTAGCAGCTGCAGGATGTTTACTTAGGGCAGGATAAGG